ACATTTTACTGACAGCTTAGAAGAATCTTTAAAAAAAGAATTTGAAGGGGAATTGTTCTTCAGCAATGGTCAGAGCAATGCTAGAGGGGTATCCATATGGTTAAAAAGTAGGCTTAATTACAAATTTATTGACTATTATAAGGATAAAGACGGGAGACTTCTTCTGATAAATATAGAAATTGATGAAAGCATACTTACAATTGCAAACGTTTATGCACCAAATAACAATAAACTAAGAAACACCTTTTTTAAATCAGTTAAAACTTTTATAGACAAATATAGTCTTGGACAATTAATAATAGGAGGAGATTTTAACGATATCTTATCTGAAAAAGATACAAAAAATAAAAATAAAAGAACAAAATTTGATAAACCAGTATCCGGACTTAAAACTTTAATTAAATCTCTTAAAATAACAGATATTTGGCGTGAAAAAAACCGAGATAAAACTCATTTCACCTGGTGTAAAAGAAATAAAACAGAAGCCACAAGAATTGACTACTTCCTTGTTAGTACTGAAATTAAAAAAAACTGCTCCTCTTGTGATATTAGACCAATTGTTATTCAATACACTGACCACAATAGTGTATCTTTAAAATTACAAATGTCAAGAAATAATAAAGGACGTGGTTACTGGAAATTAAATAGTAGTGTTTTAAACAATGAAATTTACCTAAAAATAATATACAATCTCATTAACAACTATAAAATTAAAGCAAATGATTCAAAAAATCTAGCTATTTTATGGGACAATTTTAAAATAGAGGTTCGAGATTGTACAATTCAGTTCTGTAAATTGAAAGCCCTAAACAAAAAAGATTCAATCAATGTATTAGAAAATCAACTAATACAACTAAATAATGAAATTCATACAAATAACATCAGAGTTAATGAAACAAATACCTACCTGATTGAAAAAATAGAGAAAGTAGAACAAGAATTAGGAAATCTGTACAATGAAAAAATAAAAGGCAATCAAATAAGATCAAGGGTGAAATGGATTGAAGAGGGAGAAAAAAATACCTCATACTTTTTAGGTCTTGAAAAAGCCAGGCAGTGCAAAAAAACCATTACTAGATTATATGATGTAAATAATAATATAATTACTGATCAAGAAAAAATACTTGACCTTGAAGTTAACTATTATAAAAATTTATATTCCTCTACTAATCCAGATGTTGAAAATACCAAAAAGTACTTAAACGATATTAAAAAATGTCCAAAATTAAGTGATAGTGAAAGTAATTTATGTGAAGGAAAAATCACAGTGCAGGAATGTACAGATGCTATATTCAAAATGAAACTAAATAAAGCTCCAGGTTTAGATGGACTTAATGTTGAATTTTACAGAAGATTTTGGGAAAAAATAAAAGAATTAATTGTATCTGTATTCAATTTTTGCCATGAAAAAGGAGAATTGTCAAATTCACAAAAAGTTGGGGCAATATCATTAATATATAAAAAAGAAGATCCACTTTCTTTAAATAATTATCGTCCAATAACTCTGTTAAATTATGATGTAAAATTGTTAGCTTATGCACTTGCTCAAAGATTAAAACTAGTATTACCAAAAATAATTCATACTGACCAGAAAGGTTACATAAAAAACAGATACATAGGCTTCAATATCAGGCAAATACAAGATATTATTGATTACTCAGAGAACTTTAAAGTAGATGGAGCTATACTTTTTGTTGATTTTTCAAAGGCATTTGACTCCCTTGAATGGAACTTTATGTCAGAAACCTTGGAAAAATTTGGCTTCAAAAGTAGTTTTATAAGATGGATTCAAACAATGTACACAGACATAAAAGGCTGTATACTCAACAATGGTTGGGTGTCCAGCAGTTTTAATATTTTTCGCGGAATTCGACAAGGATGTCCAATTTCTTCGTTAGCTTTCGTATTGGTAGTTGAAATTATGGCAATTAAACTAAGACAAAATAATAGCCTCAAGGGTTTAGAGGTGAAATTAGATGGTAAAAACTGCTCACTGAAAATATGTCAACTCGCAGATGATACAACCCTATTTCTCAAATCACCAAAAGATGTTAGTTTAGCAATGAATATAATTGAAACTTTTGGAAGCTTCTCAGGATTACAGTTAAACAGAAATAAAACAGAGGGATTTTGGTTAGGAAAACTTAAACATAGTAGAGACAAATTTGAAAACATAAATTGGAAAACAGATAATATTAAAAGTCTTGGCTTTTACTTTGGTTATAACAATCAAGACTGTCAAAAACTAAACACTGATAAACAGCTAAAAAAATGTGAAAAGATACTATCAAATTGGATGAAAAGAAACTTAACATTAATAGGCAAAATAATAGTAGTAAAATCATTAATTCTTCCAAATTTAACTTATATTGCATCAAACATGTACATACCAAAGGAAATTATACAAAAGTTTAAAACTCTAGTCTATAATTTCATATGGAATGGGAAAAAAGATAAAGTTAAACGTGCAACCCTTTGTAAAGACTATTTGGAAGGTGGGTTAAAAATGATCGACATAGACTTGTATCTCAAAGCACTTCAATTACGGTGGATTTTAAAACTTAAACAAAACTCTGGCGATAATTGGTCAATCATACCCCAAGTTTATCTAAACAAATTTGGTAAAAACCTTTTGATATTCCAAATGAACATTAAAAATGTTAATATGTTAGACAAAAAATCATTTAAATCCATCCCTGAGTTCTATCAGCAATTGATTAAAACTTGGATTAATGTAAAGGGTGGACAGACAAAGATCCCACAAACTTTTCTAGATATAAGAAAGCAGATCTTATGGGGCAATTATAATATACAAACAAAAGGAAAACACTTATTGTTTACTAAATGGATTGAACATAATATTCTGTATGTAAATGACATACTAGATGAAAGAGGTTATATATCAGAAAATAAAATATTACTTAAACTAAAAGATAAACGAGATTGGATTAGAGAATTATCCTTAATAAAGAAAGCTATTCCAAAACATTGGCAGAATATTTTAAAGCAAGAAAGCTCATTTAAAACAAAAGTACATATAAAGAATACCAAAAATCTGCAAATACTACTCAATCATAATATCTATCCAGAAATGAGTAATAAAGAAATATATTCAATATTATTTGCCCCTCATAAACAAGAAAAACCTGTAGGTTATCTTAAGTGGGAAAGAATTTTCAAAGAAAATTTTAACATAAAATTAAAAAGCACTCTTAATTTTATATTTAAATACCTAGATAACAACAAATTTAAAATGTTTAAATGGAAATTACTCCATTTCATCCTTCCATGCAATGAATTATTAGTTCAGTGGAAAGTATTAGAAAACAGTTCATGCAATTTCTGCAAAGAAATTGAAAACTATAAACATTTTTTCATAACATGCCCTTATAATACTAAATACTGGCATGAAATATATAAACTACTACTTTATCTTCAAATAAACAGACACATTCTAAGGCTAGAAAATTTAATAACTGGCTATAAAATATCAGATATAAAATACTTTGATATAAACACCCTTATAACAGTTATATTTTTCTCTATATATAAAGCACATTTTATTTCAAACAAAAAAGAAACAAAGATAGATATCTTCAAAATTTTCAAAACGGAAATATACGACATTATAAAATTAAATGCGATAAGAAATATCGAAACCGGAAAAATGTTATTAAAGACATCGATATATTGTAACTTGTAAGTGATATCTGTAGGTAATGAGTATGTTTGACAAATCAACACATGCTACTTCCAGTCTATAAATAATATACCACGAGGAGCCAAAAAAAAATGCATCGCAAATAACCTATTGATTTGTATTTAACATAACTATATGCACCTACCTATATATGTATTTCCATTAACATGGTCAAGCATGTAAGTTTGAATAATAAATCCTTCAAATTATAAAAGAATAAGTAAATTCCAATTACACAGGTATCCTGTGAGAAAGTAAATACACATAATAATCACAAAATGTAACGGTGAAGATCCGTTATTTTTTTCCGATTTGTAAGCAGACAAAAAATCAATGAATCAGTTTATATTGACGTATATTTATATTATGTATTATGTTTAATTGTATAATACTAACATTTATATATATTTTATTATATATTCTCCCTGGATATATAATAATTTTAAATACACAGGGAAACTTAGCCCAATGCTGTAAGCTAAGTAAATTGTTAAACAGCATTTAGTGCAATAAAGATGATTTAATTGTTAAAAAAAAAAAAAAAAGAAAGCATGACCTCACACACTAGATAAGCAGACAACAAGAAGACAATCAGGCAGAACATTAAGAAAGAAAATATCAAACGCCCAAATGGCCCAGTGATCATGCAAGATACTTCAACCTTATGTTTTCAATAGCTACTGGTATCCCTTAAGTTAATAATGTAAAGTAACCATTAACTAATCAAGACCAGATATTTTATTACTAACTAATTATAAAATATGGGCTGAAATCAAGGTAATATCATATGTCTGCAAGACATGAGTCATTGATCTTCCACCAAGATCTATGTATGCAGTTAGATGCAACACTTTGGACATAAATAGAAAACATATAACAGTTATAAGTTTAAAGATTTGACTTTTAGACTAATAGTGAATTCTCAATTATGTACTGTAGTCCTTAACAAGAAAGCTATTTCTGACTTTAAATACTCATGCCATCCCATTTGAGTATATAGGTAAATTGTGATGCAATTTTAGAGAGTATCACTGTTGATTCATTTATTTTATTACAATTCATCAGAGGGACTCTAAAAAGATTTCTGGCTATCCCTTTTTTTTATGAGACTACAAAGTCTGAGAGGGTGATTTATTAATCAGTGTTTCAAGGTTTTACTTAATCAGCCAATCAAAATAAAAGAAATTTTACAACAAAGCTTTTAAGGATATAAATGCACAGAGTAAAATCAAGGGTGGTATTAATCCAGTCATAAATTAAATTTAAATTATTTCAAATGTTAAAAAGACAGAAGAAAATGTATAATATATGTCTTTATTAATGGGAAAAATAAGACAAAATCAACAATTTTTACGGTGATGTTGTTTACCGAGCCGGTAAATGTAGATACAATCTGGGTAAACTTATTCTAAAAGGTTACCAATTCTACACTATAATTAGATCTTTCAATATTGTTTTTATCAGTATAAATATTGATTTTGATATCAATAAAATAAAACTCAACCAATTATTATTATTGTTATACACATATGTACCTAAATTTTGGCATCGCACAAGCTCATGTTTTTCTGTGACTGTGAATGACTTCATTACTTTAAATCTATTGTATGTTGGATGTGTACTGATTGATATTTTAGTCTTCGATAGATGATTCTTTTATTAAGTGTTCATGGCTTTGAACAATGCTTTCCCAAAAAGCGCTTCGGACGCATGAAATTTATAACGTGTTGTTTTCATTTTTTTAACAGCAGTGGGTCGATACCTCTGCTGGTGGACTATCAGTCCTGGAGAGTATCATCAGCTCAGTAGTCAGTACTTCCAGAGGCGGATTTAGAGGGTTTTTCATGGGGCCCGGGCCCCCCTTTTGTGGAAAAAATTTTGTTGATTATATAGGGAATCACTGAAGCATGACTGGAGCGGGGCCCCCTCTTAGGCAGTCAGTGGGCCCCTCCTTATGAAAATTTCTGGATCCGCCACTGACTTCGGTATTGTCATGATTTATGACCAACCTTTCTAAAATTGTCTGTTTAGAAATTTTTAAATTATAAAAAAACTAAGGTTTTAACTCTCTCAGGCAAAGTTGACCTTAGATGGATTTGGCTATATTTTTAGGTCGTTTTGGTTATATAGCTCTTCAATCGTTTCAGTTCTTATACATCCTTGGCTTTCAATTATTCGGCTTTGAGCGTTCCTGATGAAGGTAAATCGAGAAAAGCGTTTCGGACGCATGAAATTTATAACATGTTGTTTTCATTTTGTTTTCAGTAACTGTGAATACTCTCAGATCTGTACTTTGTGTCTATTTTGTTTTCAGTAACTGTGAATACTCTCAGATCTGTACTTTGTGTCTATTATGTTTCAGTAACTGTGAATACTCTCAGATCTGTACTTTGTGTCTATTATGTTTCAGTAACTGTGAATACTCTCAGATCTGTACTTTGTGTCTATTATGTTTTCAGTAACTGTGAATACTCTCAGATCTGTACTTTGTGTCTATTATGTTTCAGTAACTGTGAATACTCTCAGATCTGTACTTTGTGTCTATTATGTTTTCAGTAACTGTGAATACTCTCAGATCTGTACTTTGTGTCTATTATGTTTTTGATAGTTGTTTTTGTGCTTTGTATTGATCTGATGAGTTAAGCCTTTTTCAACTGATTTTTATAGTTTGTTCTTATTTTGTGAGATATCACCACTGTCCCAAGTTAGGGGGAGGGTTGGGAGCCCACAAACATGTTTAACCCTGCCAAATTGTTTATATGCCTGTCCCAAGTCAGCAGCCTGTAATTCAGTGGTTGTCGTTGTTTGCTGTCTGTATATGCCTGTCCCAAGTCAGCAGCCTGTAATTCAGTGGTTGTCATTGTTTGCTGTCTGTATATGCCTGTCCCAAGTCAGCAGCCTGTAATTCAGTGGTTGTCGTTGTTTGCTGTCTGTATATGCCTGTCCCAAGTCAGCAGCCTGTAATTCAGTGGTTGTCGTTGTTTGCTGTCTGTATATGCCTGTCCCAAGTCAGCAGCCTGTAATTCAGTGGTTGTCGTTGTTTACTGTCTGTATATGCCTGTCCCAAGTCAGCAGCCTGTAATTCAGTGGTTGTCGTTGTTTGCTGTCTGTATATGCCTGTCCCAAGTCAGCAGCCTGTAATTCAGTGGTTGTCGTTGTTTACTGTCTGTATATGCCTGTCCCAAGTCAGCAGCCTGTAATTCAGTGGTTGTCGTTGTTTGCTGTCTGTATATGCCTGTCCCAAGTCAGCAGCCTGTAATTCAGTGGTTGTCGTTTGTTGCTGTATATGCCTGTCCCAAGTCAGCAGCCTGTAATTCAGTGGTTGTCGTTTGTTACTGTATTTGTTTTTCGTTACTGTTCATAAATAAGGCCGTTAGTTTTCTTGTTTGAATTGTTTTACATTTGTAATTTCAGAGCTTACTCTTCAGTATGGGTTTTGCTCATTGTTAAAGGCAATAATGTGACCTTTTGTTGCTTACTTTTACCTCATTTGGTCTCTAGTGGCAATCACACCACATCTCCTTATTTGTCGTTTGTTACTGTATATCATATTTTTTTATTAGGTGTTTTGTACATTAAGTTAGGTGTTTTGTACATTAAGTGTTGGTTTTCTCATTTGAATTGTTTTACATGTTGTTATGTCTTGGCCTTTTATAGATTGCTATGCGCTATGGGTCTTGCTCAATATTGAATGCCATATGGTGATCTATGGTGATCTATAGTTTCTTACATCTACATCTACATGGTCTCAGGTGTATGATTGTCTCTTTAGCAATCAAACCACATCTCCTTATTTTATAAGACAATAATCAAACCTTGCATTAAAGTTTTGATTAGTTGTATTTCCTTAAAACATGTACATAAATTGTGAATTTACAGTAAAATTACATTACCACATACATATAATACTAAAAGTTTTGTTCTTTGGAATGACAGACATAATTTTGACCATATATATATATATATCTATATGTACAAAATGTTAAAAAAAATAATGCATATCTACAAAAAACATGAGACAAATTTTGAGCAACTCTGAAGAAAAATATAGACTTATAAAATAAATTTAATTTTTACATATATACAACAACATTTTATTTTATAAATCACTTGTGGAGAGCTGATGACTATAACAAAATTTTCAACCAAGAAATCTTAATAAAGTTTTAATAATTTCCCTTTAGCTTTAGTTTCAACAAAGAAAACCTAGTAAAGTTGAGTTATTTCCCTTTAACTTCTAGTTTTCAACCAAGATATCTTAGTTAATTTTAGTTTCTTTCTTTAATTTTAATTTTGAAGCAAGGAAGCCAAAAAAAAGTTCAAGATATTTCCTTAGTTAAAGATTGTCCCCATAATGAAATAGATATAAAAAGCATTGTGAAGCATATGAATAATATTGATAAAGTAAATTTTTTTTTATAATTAATGTCAAATAACTGTGACGTGACTAGAGTGAATGTTGAATGTCAAAACACATTCAAACCCTCAAACCACCATCTAGAAAAAAGAAAAGAGAGAGTACCAAACATATACAGATCACCATTCCTGATAATTACTTAATTTTCTAAGTGAATTGTTTAAGGCATACTTCAGTGATTGTGTACTATGGTTATGTCAGACAGGAAAAGTTTTATACCATAATAGGCTGGTGGGCTTAAAAATCAGTTTCTCAGTATAACTTCAAGCTTCTGCTGTGGACACAACTTTAGCATAAGAAATAAAACCAAATGGTACAGTGAGTGGTTGACTTACAAATTTTGCCTAAATGTACAGTTAAAGATGGCTTACAAGAGGGGTTTACACCTCAGAGTGGCCCTAAGATAGAGGGTCTTCTTATTAGATTAACCTTGTGACAAACCATTGTTGCTTCAACAAGAATGCAAGGTTATCATGTTAAGCACCCCCCACACATAATTCTAAGTAGCAGCATAAAGTAGGTGTCTGACAGATCGAAAAGAGCACACACGTTACAACTCATCACTGTTAAGCTGGCGATTAAATAAGAAGTCATTCTGTTCAGTATTTTCTTAGAAAAGTGTGACGAAATATATATGGTGGACGAATGTGTGTATGTAAGGATTGATGGACGGACAAGGTAATTGCAAAATAGCCTTCAATTTGAGAGTTGGGTATAATGGTTCATTCCTGAGAAAATAAAGGTATTGGAATATATGTATGTGATAAATTTTCATAATTGTGGCTTCAAAATTTATTGTGATACTGTAATACTGATATTGTATATTTATGACATTCAAAGTTTATCTCCGTACACCAGATAGTGTGGTAACTGTGCACAAGCATAGAAGAATCACATGACAGATTACTGTATAACATATTGCTGTGGTGTGAAAAGTAACAGTTATTTAATAAAAATATCTGGTGTACGGTAATACTGTAATCAGTCAGAATAATCATCATAATATTGTAGCTGTACATATTCATATTCTGCTGTCGGTCATCTAAAGTTTCTGTATGACACCTGTATCTTCCTCATCCGAATAAACACCACAACAAGAACAATGAGTAAGATCAAGATTACTCCTGCTAAAACTACTGTAGTGATCTGGTCTGAAAAATACAAAATACTAAGATAAGAATGAGTAAGATCAAGATTACTCCTGCTAAAACTACTGCAGTGATCTGGTCTGAAAAATACAAAATACAAAGATAAGAATGAGTAAGATCAAGATTACTCCTGCTAAAACTACTGCAGTGATCTGGTCTGAAAAATACAAAATACAAAGATAAGAATGGGTAAGATCAAGATTACTCCTGCTAAAACTACTGCAGTGATCTGGTCTGAAAAATACAAAATACAAAGATAAGAATGGGTAAGATCAAGATTACTCCTGCTAAAACTACTGCAGTGATCTGGTCTGAAAAATACAAAATACAAAGATAAGAATGGGTAAGATCAAGATTACTCCTGCTAAAACTGCTGTAGTGATCTGGTCTGAAAAATACAAAATACTAAGATAAGAATGGGTAAGATCAAGATTACTTCTGCTAAAACTGCTGTAGTGATCTGGTCTGAAAAATACAAAATACAAAGATAAGAATGGGTAAGATCAAGATTACTCCTGCTAAAACTGCTGTAGTGATCTGGTCTGAAAAATACAAAATACAAAGATAAGAATGATTACTCCTGCTAAAACTGCTGTAGTGATTTGGTCTGAAAAATACAAAATACAAAGATAAGAATGGGTAAGATCAAGATTACTTCTGCTAAAACTGCTGTAGTGATCTGGTCTGAAAAATACAAAATACAAAGATAAGAATGGGTAAGATCAAGATTACTTCTGCTAAAACTGCTGTAGTGATCTGGTCTGAAAAATACAAAACACTAAGATAAGAATGAGTAAGATCAAGATTACTTCTGCTAAAACTGCTGTAGTGATCTGGTCTGAAAAATACAAAATACAAAGATAAGAATGGGTAAGATCAAGATTACTTCTGCTAAAACTACTTCAGTGATCTGGTCTGAAAAATACAAAACACTACTGTTAAAATGAGTGTCAAGACCAAGATTACTCCTTTTAAAACATCTGTAGTGGTCTGGTAATTTTGGGGTTTTCTTGTGAAAAATTGAATCTCACTTCGTACCTCAAAAATTTAACCAGATAAAAAAAATCATTGAAAGTGTTCCAGAAGTACAAATGATGTAACAAGATTCATTGTGTCATCAGGTACACGAAACTATGTCTTGTATGATTAGAACATGGCTTAGTTAACAATATATTAGAATATAAAATATTACAACTAGATTAAGTCTCAAAATCAATATAATTGCTGATTATCTTCTGGTCAGAAAATTACTAAATAATACTATCAGAATAATAACTCAGATTTTATTTTTTATATTTTATCGGCTATATCTGCTCCACTTGTCTTTATTTATCACATAAAATTAAATAAAAATATTGTTCAAAGGGGTTTTGTTCTTGAAACTATTTCAATAATATCTTATTGATTATAAGTAGCCCATTAAGTCCTGTAGTTTATATTACATTGGTATTCAAAACTTTGGAGTTATAACAAATTTATTTACCAAGAGTCCATGGAATTATAGCCCTTTTTTAATAAGTTAATTCTGAATTCCCGGGATTTGATTTGAACTATAGCCCTTTCCAATAAGTCACTGAATACTTTTGTCCAAATTTACAAAAAAACACTGGGAACCTATATAGGGTGTTAATAATGTTCATGAATAATATTTAAATCTGTTGAGGCAGTATCCACTTTATATAGGACAGACAGACAGATTCATCACTATAAGTCATTGCCGACTAGTAGTAGCCCTAATAATCAATAAGACTTACAAGTTGTAAATGAGACTGTGTTATCATCAGACTGGAGTCCACATTCTTTTTTCCAGTCCACAGGTATATATGGTTTGGTTATTTTCTGGAAAACTTCTAAAGGACAATTTTCAGTACACCCTGAAATCAATATACTTATTTCTTATAATTCAATTTATTGCAATTGAGCAGTTTATTGTGTACAAAAGTAGTTGATTTGGTAACTATACAGAAGGTATTTTGATGGAGTTCTATGAAAGGGATATTATTACCTGGTACATTGAGAATATATGATGTATCAGTGGTATTTTGGTGGAGCTCTATGAAAGGGAGATAATTACCTGGTACAGTGAGAAGATATGCTGTTTTAGTGGTATTTTGGTGGAGTTCTATGAAAGGGAGATATTTACCTGGTACAGTGAGAAGATATGCTGTATCAGTGGTATTTTGGTGGAATTCTATGAAAGGGAGATAATTACCTGGTACATTGAGAAGATATGCTGTATCAGTGGTATTTTGGTGGAGTTCTATGAAAAGAGAGAATTACCTGGTACATTGAGAAAATATGCTGTATCAGTGGTATTTTGATGGATTTCTATGAAAGGGAGATAATTACCTGGTACAGTCAGAAGATATGCTCTATCAGTGGTATTTTGATGGAGTTCTATGAAAGGGAGATAATTACCTCGTACAGTCAGAAGATATGCTCTATCAGTGGTATTTTGATGGATTTCAATGAAAGGGAGATAATTACCTCGTACAGTCAGAAGATATCCTGTATCAGTGGTATTTTGATTGAGTCTTATGAAAGGGAGATAATTACCTGGTACAGTGAGAAGATATGCTGTATCAGTGGTATTTTGGTCGAGTTCATGAAAGGGAGATAATTACCTGGTACAGTGAGAAGATATGCTGTATCAGTGGTATTTTGATGGATTTCTATGAAAGGGAGATAATTACCTGGTACAGTGAGAAGATATGCTGTATCAGTGGTATTTTGATGGATTTCTATGAAAGTGAGATAATTACCTGGCACAGTGAGAAGATATGCTGTATCAGTGGTATTTTTATATAGAACATTAACATAATAATTCCCTGCAGAGTACTGATGGAGTTCTACTAAAACAGATGCCGCATATGGTGGACTGGTTCCATTAGCAAATAGATTCAAAGCAGAGAGTAAAGCAGCAACAGTTGTATCATGCTGTAACAGATAAAGCAATTAGTTAAAAGCAAATTTTTTGTTAACACATGAAAACTACAATCATCTAAAATGTTATTGTGCAAAAGATCTATTGATATACTTTAAGTTTCTAACTCAGAATTATGTGTTTTAATATAAGCTAGTAATAGTTACAGACAAGTCCATAAAGCCAAATTTCAAAGTTCATGCTGGGGTTTATGTTGCTCAATATTTGGTTAATAGTGAATTGTTTTGTAGACAGTTGCTTATCTCATTGTCTTTTTCTAATTTTGTCCACATCTTCAAATTATGGTTTTTGATTGTTCCCTTACTATCTTACAACTATACCCACTTACACATTGTGAAGTGATGCAGTTCAATGAGCTCTAAATACATACAAAATTCCATTAAAAAACTGAACCCTGGGGATGACTGAGGAATAGAATGCCAAAGTGGGGCATGCAGGATGTATAAATTCGCAGCCACGCCCAGTCTGAATGGGGATGTTAAATCTAATGTCTCATGTAGAGGGAATGCCAAGCTCTCTGCATGTTCAGAACCTTTGCAAGGACACTTTGAGGGGTTTGTAGGTGGCCTTTTTACAAGGCTAAATTTCTGTCCATATCCAATTAAATCTCATTTTCCAGTGGCAGTCCAAATTTCCTGCCCTTGTTTTTTCGCCCTGAACATGAATGAAGTATTTGCCACTGGATGTTAAGCAATCAACAATCAATCAATCAATCAATCAATCAATCATTCAATCATTAAAATATGAAGGAAAAAACCCATCATAACATAATTTGCTTCTCTTAGATATATATCCCTCATATTCATTTATTTTTACCTTTTTTTGTGAAGAACTGCATGAATATATTGATACTATTAATTTTGTACAGAAATACATTAATATTTCAGGTTTTCTTTTTGGTTGTGTATGTAGCACTTTCCTTAATACAAAAATGAAGTGTTTTATTTTGGTTATATCTTTTGCTTTGAAAGTGATAATACAACAATTTAATATGACATTATATTTCATAGTAGTCATATTAAATTGTTGTAAGATGTATTTTATCCACATCAATGAATTCCTTATAGTTATCTATGTTCATTGTTCAAGGCATCTAAACTTCAAATTGTTCTCTGTTTTTTTTTTTACTAAGCGCCTACAGCATATCTGTTATTCTTGCCATGAAATGTTATATTAAATGAAGAGACTTACCCCTGAATACATAAACATTTTAGTGTTAGTTTTATTTTGAGAGGCAGTAACCATCTGCTGTACAAATTCACCAAGAATTGGACCTGAAACAGAAGCTTTTATTAAGATGTACCTCTATATTTTAGAGTCTGGTAATTGAAAGTCTGTTATTGATGTTATATTCCTTTTATCCTTTTGTAAAAACTTTTCTGAGATAGTCATTGTCATCTGAAGACCATTTCATATCAGGCAGATCTTTAGTACTGTGAATTCATTATTATTCATGGAGTACCAATTTTTGTAAAAAATTGTGGGGATAGGGAGTAGGGGATTAAGGCCTAGCTTTGGCCACAGAAAATAAAAGTTTTTGAGAACTATTTTAGATTTGCACATCATGTTTGGAAATACATAAAATAAAGAAATATAAATGAATTACACAAATTTTTTCATGTTATGACATCACAATTACATCATAATATGTACTGTTTTCAGGAAAAAGAAGAAAACTGCAGACTTTATGCAGTTTTCTGTCGTAATTTCCACTGTGGAAACATCGTGTGCAGTCAAGAAATAACAAAATAATTTAAGAGAAGCCTTATTATAACTATTGACATAATCTCACCAAATACAAAGTTGTTTCTTGGGTGTGCACATACTTTTTCAATCTAATATATACTAACAAGTGGGTGTAAACAAGAAAAATTTACTTTTTTTACAAAATATATAAATTTCTACATGAGTTTGTTGCTATGGTAACTCGTTAAATGTGAAATTTGTTTTTATTTTCTGAACATCTTGTACCTTAGAGAAGTTAGAAAAAAGTAATAAATATGAATGGTAACTTTTCAATTTGCACTAATATTTGGGCCAAATAAGGGCCTTATTGCCCCTACTCCTTTAAGTACTGTAAAGTCAGAAATTATTGCGTGCATTTATTATTGCGATTGTTGAATAGAAAAAAATGTGAGTTTAATTATTGCGATTTCAGGAAAATCTGCATACAGATATATGTATCAGATATCAGAAGCGAGTTCTTATTATTGCGATACTCACCCAGTCTCATTATTCGCATTAATAAAAACCTCGCAATAATTTCTGAATTTACAGTATCCATGAAAATACAATCTTTCCCCAATCCACAAAAGTTGGTACCAATGAAAATTAATGATTCTAGAGTAATACTGCTTACTGAGAAATATTTGTGGATGTTGTATTTCATTTTCTTTGCTATAACAACTTAATAAAATTTGGCAAAGCAAAATTCAAATATATAAAGCATTTGTGCATTGAAATGTGTAGAATTCACCATGCAGAATGGCTTTATACATGTAATTCAATTTTTAATATATAACTTTTTCTTAAAACAGGAATATCATACCTCCCATTAGTCGACTTTTTTCATGTCCACTGTACAAAAGTCTGAATTGCCAGCTGTCTAGGAAACGTAATTTCTCATACACAGTCATGCCTTCCTGTTTCCATTGCTGATCAGCCCAAGTTGATACTGTGAGGTTGTGGGCTTTCTGAAATAATGTGTTAAAAGACAATCTCACTATCAACCAAAAGTGCTATAGTGGCTTATAATAATAAGCAGATGTGGTATGATTGCCAGTGACACAACTTTCCATCAGAGACCAAAGAATGACAGTGTAAACTTATCAATCCTTTGAATATTGTATTTAATGGTACTTACATTGATTTTGTTATTGCTAAAGAAATAATAACTAAATATGTATTCATATTATCTTATATATACACTTACAATCCTACATCCTGTTGATATTATGGCATTGCACAAGGTCATGCTTTTTTTACAGACTGTATATGACTTTTTTACACTAAATCCATCAAATGTATACTGACTGATATTTTAGTTTGGGAAACATGATTTATTTTTTAAATGTAAATGGTTTTTAATTAGCTATCAGTAACTGCAAGTACTCTTAAATTGGTACTTTGTGTCTTTAGTCTTTTTAATAGTTGTTTATAACGCTTTGTGTTGGTCAGATGAGTCAAGCCTTTTTTAATTGATTTTTACAGTTTGCTCTTATGTTATGCTGTTACACCACTGTACCAGGTAAGGGAGAGGGTTTAGAGCTCACAAGAATGTTGAACCCTGCCACATTATGTATGTGCCTGTCCCAAGTCAGGAGCCTGTAATTCAGTGGTTGTTGTTGGTCATTGTCTATCATATTTGATTTTTTGTTTATTGGTATATCCATGAATCAGGTCAATGGTTTTTCTTGTTTGAATTGTTTCACATTTTGTCATGTTGGGACCTTTTATAGCTAACTATACGTTATTGGTTTTGCTCATTAGGCTGAATGGTGACCTATGGTTGTTAACAAACTTATCCTTTTGAGTTTTGACTCTGGTGGATAGTTGTCTCATTGGCAATCATAACACATCTCCTTATTTTTATATTAAGGATAAAAACATCTGTTTGTTGGTCAACAGAGATTGGTAACAATCAAGTACTAATTTAATCCTTTACAAAATTTGATTTGATCACACAATACCTCACAAAACAGTGTATCGGCAATCTTCCAAATGTTAGAAATATTTTCCTGGGTTGTTCCTGACATCTGTCCCACAAACTTGTAAAAATCCTGAAAAGGAATTAAAATGATAAACATGAGATACTGTTCCAGTGATAATTATAATTTGTTTCTACATACCATCTACTGTTCACTTTACAGAGTAAGTATACTCTCTTATAAATACTAATCAAAGATAAAGCCAGAAGATGTTGCTGACTTTCTATAACCTAACTTAATATAACAAATTGGTTGAGTGTGAAGCAATATTCTAAATTAACTTTCATAAAAATTACTCAGAGATACAAGTTTGAAAACAAACTATTTAAGTACCAAGAATAATGACAGGATTTTTCCAAACATCTTTCCTTTATCATCTGTTGAATATAGCCTATGTAATGATTATCCACCTACTTTGTTTCTCTCTTCCTCTTCAGTTATCTCTTTTGTTTCCATGGTTTCCTGGTACAGTTGATCATATCGAGGACAATTCTCTCCCATATTTATCACCTGTCAAGAAGATAGTATTTATGTATATACAGTCAAACCTCGTTGTGTCGAAGTCGAAGGGACCGGACCAAAGTATTCGACACATCCGAGGTTCGACTCATCCAAGGTCGAGTGTGTCGTCATAAATTTGGAATGCATGAAATACGGTATGATTTGTGTAAACTAGATACAATGAACAGTGTGCCTTTTTTCGATATGACACTTTATGATTGTGTATTCAATCTCCATTTTTGTTCCTTCATAATAATTACAGATACAAATCATGCACAAATAAAATCAATAGTCTACACAAATATTTACAAAGGTCAGTCACTATAAATTATGAAATCACTCGTGGAACGAATTAAGTTATGAACAGTCTCTGATGAGCCAGAGGTCGTCTGCTTTACATTAAATTATCATGAATTTATCATAATTGTTCTAATCCTTTTATTCATTGTAATTAATGAGTTTTAAATCTAAGGATTCATTTAATCTCGGCTTGGGTCATTCAAATTAGTTTTGTTTTTATCTGATGTGAAAAATGTTCAACACACTAACATTCCGCTTGAACGATCAACCAAAGGTGTTAATTACCGGTCACCATAAACATGTCATTTTAACTGTTATACAAACAAGTATGTTTACTCAGCTTTAATCTCTTTTGAAAATGATTAGGTTACATAAGAAATACATCCCATTTGAATTTTTATCATAAGGTCTGCATCTTTTGAAAATTCTTACTTTCGAACTTCGAGTCATCAGGGTCAATTTACATGAATTTTACATCGGCGGGACTATAAAATTTACTCAACTTAACCGAGTATTCGAATCAACCGAGTTCGACACATCAGAGGTTATTATGCATTGATCAAACGGGAATTTTACTGGGACCGAGAAATTACTTCGACTCATCCGAGTTTTCGACACAACCAAGTTCAACACAACGAGGTTCGACTGTAGTTGTGTGATATTTGACATGGTTCTAGCTATTCTAATGGAGCCATAAATCAAACTGTCACTTTTCTGAAGAGGAGGAACAAATACCAGAAGTCTAAGAAATAGAGACAAACAGTATGGCCAAAATAAGAGAGAACAAACAATTAACAGTCCACAAAAAACTACAAAACAAACTAAATATTGGGCAACACAAACCTCACCCAAAGCCACGATGAACTCAGGTGCTCCATAAGGGTCAACAGTTCATACTGCTTTGGTAACACCTACAACCGATTGTCAGTTATTACAATCTGAGGTCCAAACATAATATTAAACTGTTTATTTTGATATGGATTACCCCTTGAGAAGGTCTTAGGTCCATGTCTTCATTCTTAAACTGCCTCTGTGGTCTTGTGGTAGCGTGTTCACCCTGAGTGCGGGAGGTCTTGGGTTCGAACCCCGGCCAGGTCAAACTAAAGGCTTTAAAATTGGTATTTTCTGTTTCTCCGCTTAGCACACGTCATTAAGAAGTAAGAGCTAAGACTGGTCTGCTCTGAGTCAGAATAATGTGTCCGGGTAAGGTGACATGTCTTCCTGGGGTCTGTTACCTTGTAAACTAATGTAACGGAATAGAAGTTCCTTCATAATATAAGTTCCAAGTGGAAGAAATATTCTGTAATATTGTTTCCATTGGAACAATTATTACAGTATTTGTTCCTTACGGAATAAAGGGTATAGAATATTTGTTCCAACAGGAACAAATATTATGACATTGTTTATAACAAAGTTTCCAGGGGAACTTCTGTTAGGTGGAACAAATATACGTTGACAGTCCATACTAATCTTTCTTTTGTTTAGTATAACCAATTAAAGCCTACTGTTTGTTATGTGTATTCTTATATCATCTCCCCTTTAAAGGTCTTATATGTACCTGTCGGGTTATTTTCAGGTCTATGATATATGACCCATACTAACATCATATTCATTTTATGTAGTGTGTCCTGTTAAGGTTTACCACTTCGGTAGATTTTATGAAGTCTGTCCTGTTAAGGTTTACCACTTCAGTAGATTTTATGTAGTGTTTCCTGTTAAGGTTTACCACTTCGGTAGATTTTTTGTAGTGTGTCCTGTTAAGGTTTACCACTTTGGTAGATGTCCTGTAGTGTGTCCTGTTAAGGTTTACCACTTTGGTAGATGTCGTGTAGTCTGTCCTGTTAAGGTTTACCACTTTGGTAGATGTCCTGTAGTGTGTCCTGTTAAGGTTTACCACTTTGGTAGATGTCGTGTAGTCTGTCCTGTTTAGGTTTACCACTTTGGTAGATGTCATGTAGTGTGTCCTGTGAAGGTTTACCACTTTGGTAGATGTCATGTAGTGTGTCCTGTTAAGGTTTACCACTTCGGCAGATTTTGAAATAAACTTACATTGTCCTCTTTCTTTGGTCTGGTATGTACTGGTATGGGCTGCCACTTAGTAATGTCTGGATTCCATACTTGGTCTCCATGAGGAGGGTATAAACCAGCTAGGTTACAATAGGCACTCATCAAACATCTGTCTTCATTTGAACTGGCAACTTCTATCTGCAATAAGATGTCTGGTTTATCAAAATCTGTCTACCTCAATCATCATTATCATGGTGATAAAAATTTGAATGCAACTTTTGTGTAACAATTTTTTCTATTGGCTAAAATTTACTGCCAATTTCACAGTTTGACATGTCGTAACTATTGAGTGAGCTGCCATATTGAATTATTTGGATCAACAAATGTTGGATTAATACAATATATTTGAAAATAAAACAACACCTATCTCAAAATTATGCTTTTTTTTTTCAACCTAAAACGTATTATTTCTTTTTGTAACACAATAGAATTGGAATAAAAGTACTATAATTGAAGAGTTGCTACTATCAATTGGGATTTGATGGTCGCAAATATCCATTTTACAGCCTCCACTACAAGTCGTAATAAAAATCTTCATTTGCAACCATCAAATTGTCAATCGAGATGGCAATTCTTTTAGTCTTTAACTACAGTACTGTTATTCCATAAATCATCTGCAAAATTACTTTTAAAAGAAAGACTTGGAAATATATACATGTAAAAAAGTGTTTTGGGAGAGTTGGCAGACAAGCTTTATTCAACTTTTTTATGGTTCTTTTCTTCTATTCTGCAGTTGATGATTTATTTTCGTATTTCATTAGACTAGAGCACCTAATATGGGATTTGAATATGTTTCTCACTGACTGCATATAACCCTTATCTCATCAGGTTATAACACTCATGACATCTTAAGGTTACAACATCATTTTAAACAAATATGGTGGTGGAATGTAAATAAGGAAGCGATTTGAGAAAATATAACTTCAAAACATGTAAAAAAATTGTAAATGATTTTGCTTGCATTTTGTAAATTTCTTAAAGTTGTTGAAATTTAAATATTTCAGAAGCAACATCTTCAGGAAAAGTTTACAACATGACATAGTCACCAAGAAGTTATCAGTGGGATACATTCTATAATGACTTGCAAGTGGCATACAGGAATATATGACGCCATGACAAAAGTTGAATAAGGTTCTGATGGTACCTTGCACTTTACATTTTTTGCCAGTATTTCTAATCCTTTACTTCAATAACTTACTTCTGTGTGTACATAAGAACTATTCAGAAAACCATCATATCTTTTTCTTAACCATTGACCAAAATGGTAGTGCATCAACATCCCTTTCTGAAAAAGATAAAAGCAACAAATAAATCGAAAGTAGTGCATCAATATATCTTATAGAAAAATACAAAATTAACATTGTGTTTAATTGATTTTTTGACAATATAAATCACAATTATGACCTTCAAAGACATACATTTGGAAAGTTCTTTTGCTTTTAAAGGCAACCTTGACTATATGCATGAACACACATAATTTACATTGGAAAAACATGTGTTTTTCATACATAATGTCCTTATGCATAATTTTACATGTTTAAGAAATATTGTTTTAATTCAATGCTGAGGCTAATGTTTACCTTTCAAATGCATACAACAGCAACTTTTGAGGAAATCAGGAATTATATTATACTTTTGAACCTTCAACATGTACAAACTCTGTCTAAAATATATATAAAATAATTTGGTTTATATTCGCATGAATAGAGTGCAATAAATTATCTTAAGAATACATGTATATGACAAGGTTGAAATTTAAGTGTCAAATTCATAGGCATCCCAATTAACCCATGAAGCCACTAAGCTTGCTTTATATCTTAGTTTCTTCCTTACTTACCATGCTAAAACTAGCCATGCTAAAGGTCATCTGACTTAAGATTTAAATTTCTCTCTTAATCAGTCATCTTCTTCTTCAAGGACGCATATGAACATGTTTAGATTATAAATTCCTACCTCAGTTATTCATCCCAATCACACATGTCAGCTTGGTATAGATTATAAATTCCTACCTCAGTTATTCATCCCAATCACACATGTCAGCTTGGTATAGATTATAAATTCCTACCTCAGTTATTCATCCCAATCACACATGTCAGCTTGGTATAGATTATAAATTCCTACCTCAGTTATTCATCCCAATCACACATGTCAGCTTGGTATAGATTATAAATTCCTACCTCAGTTATTCATCCCAATCACACATGTCAGCTTGGTTTAGATTATAAATTCCTACCTCAGTTAACCATCCCAATCCTTGTGGCCACTTGTCAACTTTGTTTTTATCTGTAGGAAATATACCCACTGGAGATCTATCTCCATGACGATATACCTAAAACACAAAATAATTTTACTGATACTTCTTTAACTAAAACTCTTCATCAAAAGACTTTTTTCATTTTACCTACTTTTGACTCCGGAGTTTATATTTTTTTCGACAAGTTTACTTACATGTACCTAATCTATGGTTGGACATTGTGCTACTTAGTCATCAAGAACATGAAGAAGTAAAATCAAGCTAACAATCTGTATAATTTTTGGGGGAAATACTGTTTCATGTTTTCTATAGACAACAGAGTAATTGGAAAACAGCAAAATTTCCCCCTAAATTACACCGATTATCATCATTATATGTTTGATTTTACTTCTCTTGGTTGCTCTTACTTAGTACCAGGATGCCTTACTACAGAGTAGGGTACCTGTCAAAGTTATATAATCCTGAGTCAAGAGAGGTAATATGAAAATAGTCTATTGTCCATTGTTTTCTGTAATACAAAACTTATCTTTAAATGTTTGTTGATAGATGCAGTATAAAAGTTAAACTTTGATATAAAATTTAACTATAAAAATAGAAGATGTTGTATGATTGCCACTTGACAACTCTCCACCAATTGACTAATAAGTTAACAACCCATATAAATAAAAGTGCAACACAAATATATCTCACTTCAATGTAGGGTTTCAGTCACAACATATTTGGTTGTCAGAAGATAATTAAAAAGGTTATAGCTAAAAACGCCATATACCACTCAAATATACTGTAAACCAACTTATTTTCGCAGATACTTTATTTCACGTTTCGACGTTTCTAACACACTTCGCAGCGATTAAAGTTCGCGATTCTTTAATTTTCTTGATATAGTTGAATAAGGAAAGATCCAAGTTTTACATATTCGCGACAATTTATATTCGCGTTATTTTTCTACTCGCGAATGTCGCGAAAATAAATCGCTTGCGAAAATTAGTTGGTTTACAGTAAACAAAATTAACATTTTACGACTGAAACCTCATCCGAAAATTGAAAGAAAAAGTTTTATTTCTGTACACTTAAATTAGAAGAAAGGACGTCAACTTCATAACAAATATCAAAGTAAATTGAGATTCTAAAAGGTGACCAACTTTGGGCAAGGACTGATTTTACGGAACGAAAGGATATAGGCTGTGAATACCAGTAAGACAGTGGCAAGACACATATTTTTCCTGAACAGCTTTAAAATTAATGTTAATATAATGATGATTTAATACTAGGTTTCATGTGTATTTTGAAAAGAATTGCGATATATAAATTATAAAATATATAAAAAATAATTGAGAAAGCAACTAAAAGACACCTAAAATTGAAAACTCAAACGCTCCTTGTGTTGAGTAAACATTATGCATTATGCATTATGAGAGGTTCATAAGAACAATAAATGTTATCTATACACATTTACAGCCAACAAAGCAGTCACCATAGGCGGATTTATGGGGGGTGCAGGCAGCAACATATCTGGTTAATGCATAAGACTTTTTACATGCCAAACTCTCCCGTGCCTCTGTTTTTTTCTTTGTTGACATATTTGTTTGTTTTTATAGTGATTAAGATTATAACACAATGTTGACTGCTGTACCCCTATTTTTGATATTTTTACCTATTATGTCTGTTTGTTTTGTTGGGGAGGATCGTCATAAATGAGTACTAACCTTGTTTATGGTTATTATACACTAAAACGGATATCAATTCTCAGTGGTAAAAATATATACTTTGGGTTTACAGATATTTTCTGTCATGGCGCAAACATTCAGGTAAAGGACTAGTCCAAATAATTATGATGTCTTGAAATGCTATTTTAATTTTTTCTGTCAAGATGTCATAATTATTTGGACTAGTAAAGGACAGCATTCGCCTGAAGACACCATGACTGAAATATCATTAGGATAAAAGTTAACAGCATTCAAAAAGTAGAAATTTTGGACGCCATTATCTTTGTATTCAGTTCTCATTTTTTTTTTGTCTTATCAAAACTTACAGTGGCAGATTTACCGGGCGGGGGGGCAAGTGCCCCCCTTGTCACGGCATCACCAAATTCTTTTTAACATATTTTATTGCTACTGAACTGATTATCTAGAGCGATTAAGATCGATTAACATGTAAAAAATATGCTGATCAGGAAAGAAATTACCATCTAAAATCGGTCTTTAAAAAATAGGTTTAGTGTATCACTGTATGTCAATATAATATAATATATTATTTGATTTAATTTGAAAGATCGAGTTCATTATATTTGACATTATCATACCAAGTTAACCAGACGGAGGGTTGGATCTGCAGTATTAGATGCTACAAACACCGTAAAAAGCACCAACAATTTAAAATTCACTTGAACTTTCATTTTATGGACTGACAACTTTGACTTTCGACACCTCCCTTATTCCTACGATTCTAGAAAATTAAAATCTTGTGACTTCCGAGTAAGCAGGGGTAGTTAATTTCCCGCCATATTGAATTATTAAACATGAAGGCTTAACGTATTCTTTTGAAAATTCTTTTTTCAAATTTATTTTGGTGAATTTATTAAGTTAAAATTTCTTAAATATTTCCAATTGTTTTTAGTTATTTAATGTATCCTATTTATACGATCTTACAATAACAGAAAAAAAACTCGTATGAGAATTAAAGAACAAAATAATTAAATGAAAATAAGTTGAGATTAGAAGAAAGGTCGTTTCTAAAATAATAATTTAAACACTAAGAAAAAGAATAATATGTCCATGCCCAAAACGCCTGTGGTTCCATTTGCAGACGAAAAATTTGACCAGATGAAAAGCTCTCAATGGATTCTAGCGAAGGCAAGATAACAGATTCACCAAGATTCAGACAATGTGTAAAGATAGAGGAATCAGTTAGTAACTCGTACTAGCTTGGGTTCGGAGAATGAGCTGAGTTCTCCTGCGAAGATATTGAAAATAACTATATGGTCTAAATACTCATATTATACGGTCCGGCTCGTTAATAACCAAACGAGTATAATACTCACAGATATGGGTATACGCATATGATCATTACCATACGCGTATGTTCCAAATACTCACATGGTCCGGAACATATATAAATGTTAGCTGAAAACTGTAAAAAAAAATATTTTCATCATTAAATTTTTGATCTGTATATCGTCTTTTGGTCACAAAAAAGCTTCTGTCTAGCGAGCTCCGTATCTAACCAAATCAAATCAAAAGCTTCTGTCTAGCGAGCCGGCTCCGTATCTAGCCAAGTCAAATCAAAAGCTTCTGTCTAGCGAGCTCCGTATCTAACCAAATCAAATCAAAAGCTTCTGTCTAGCGAGCCGGCTCCGTATCTAGCCAAGTCAAATCAAAAGCTTCTGTCTAGCGAGCTCCGTATCTAACCAAATCAAATCAAAAGCTTCTGTCTAGCGAGCTCCGTATCTAACCAAATCAAATCAAAAGCTTCTGTCTAGCGAGCCGGCTCCGTATCTAACCAAATCAAATCAAAAGCTTTAATCAAAGTTGGTACATATACAAAACAGTACAACATAAGCTAAGCAGAGCATTTACATAGACACTACAATAAACACAAATTACGTACATAAGACATACCATGCACAAAAAAGATAAACATACATATCTCAATAGATACATGCCATTCTCAAGTCTTTTCATGCATTTTAAAGAGAAACAATTAAGCATAAATTATATATATATATATATCATATATGTATTAAACTAAAGCACCAAAACAATATATCTATGCACTAAGCTAAAACACCAAACCAATAATATATGTATGCACTAAGCTAAAGCATCAAACCAATAATATATGTATGCGCTAAACTATTTAAGCTGTAAAACTAATAGTCAAGCATTTAGATAAATCACAAAATATATATTAGTACTGAATAAGGACTCTTTACCTCTAAGCTGTTGGCCATGATTTGATATAATGTCGCCACTCAACACCGAAGTAGTAGTTTAAAATGGAAAATAGTCTTTTGAAGTGACGTCAGCAACACAATTACAAACCAAAATACTATAGCTAAATGGTCCTCTGGCCTGACCTACCATCTAGACAATATATTTATCTGTGATACAATCTGTGGTAATTGTCTGTATGAGCCATTCGTGGTGATATCGATATCCGCCACCGTTGAAAAGGCTTTATCAAACCTTAACAGAAAAAAACCCGTCATTTTAAGTATATGATAGGGGTATTTGATGTGACTTTGACAATATCAAACACCGTATCAACCCTAGAAACATATTATCCCTCGAGCAGAATATATAAAAGTTTACGACAAAAGATACGAGTTTTCGTTGCCTATTCATGGTTAATTTTCCTTTTCTTGGACGATGATGTTCCTTTGGCCCATACTTACAGTGTGTGTATTTCCCAACTCGTTCGCTTTACCCGTGTCGGTATAGTGAAGTTTTTAAGATTTCAATCAACGGAACGAAATCTCTGCATTTAAGTCTTGGATACATGTTTTTTTATTACTTGCTATTCACTTTGAACAAGCTTTCAGTAACTAATGTTACTCTCAGGTCAGTACTTTGTGTCTTTTCTTTTTGTAGTGCTTTTTGTCGATCTGATGCGTCAAGCTTTTTTAACTGTCTTTTATATATAGTTTGTTCATATAGTGTGCTGTTACACCACTGTCCAAGGTTATGGAAGTGTCATGGAATTGAAAGTATTATTTAATAAAAAAAAGTATTAGTTCCACATGGAAGAAATCTACAACTACTGTCTATTCATTGGTTAAATATGTGGTTTTATTGACTTTTGAAAAACTGATATTCCATGCAAAAATAAGGAGATGTGGTATGATTGCAAATGAGACAACTATCCACCAAATTTCGAATGAAGTGGATGCAAGCAATTATAGGCAACCGTACGGCCTTCAACAATGAGAAAAACCCATACCGTATAGTCGGCTATAAAAGGCCCCGACATAAAAAATGTATTCACTGAAGCCGACAGACGAAGTGAATATCAGTTTTTCGAAATTTAATCATACCCCATATTTACCGAAACAAAAGACAGTAATTGTTTTATTCCATATTCCTAGAGAAAACGATATATTTGTTGACAATTATTTACCAAAACCGTGTGTACATTTAAAAAAAATTATACATAAATATACATACACTTACTGGAAATGTGAAGATATGATTGAAGCTTTAAATTTTCTCCTGGACAACATATAGAGGTATTCCCGTAACAACAACATATAGAGGTATTCCCGTAACAACAACATATAGAGGTATTCCCGTAACAATGTGGACAACCGTAGTACTTTTGTTGTTAATAATACTGAATCATTTATCTTTAAATTGTTTGTAATCGGCTATCGATAACAATGATCTTACGCTCACTCAGTCTGTCAGAGGCCCTCCAGTAGTGATTTAAATAAACACTTGTTACACATTTCGATACATAAATTGAAACTCTTTTCACAAAACTTTAGAGGAATTTGTTTGAAATATTCTTTATATCAGCACACACAACAGTTTCATTTTAGAGAATAATAAAGGTTCAGAGCTAATATCATTAGATAATAGAAAAATACATTTACACATTTGGATTTTCATTGTGAAAACTTTAAGTCGATGGGGTTAATTCCCAAATATCTTAAGAGAAAAAATCCTCCCATTTTGTGATTATTTAAGAGTAACCTTCCATTTATTCAATGCATAGGATTTGTTTGTGAAAAGAGTTACGGACGATAACTGGATATTTATTCCATGAATCATCGTTTGAATCATTCAGTCATACAGAGAACTCATATGATTAGTTTGCTTTGGATATTCCAGTACTAGTGTAGCTACACAACTCAATTGCCTCTATATATGTGTATATATCAATATGTATATCTAATTAATTATAAGAATTTTCTGTTTGTATAATGCTTTTATGTAAAGGGGAAACTGTTACGCTTGTGTGTGATCCTTTTTGTCTCTTTGACCAAAGATAGTTAGTCATAAACTGCAGTACTCGTCGATATATCATTCTTGTATCTCACGAATTTAGGTCTTTTACTTACAAAACTTATTGTCTTGTAACCTTTTTTATTGTTGAAGAATGAATGTTGCCCGTTTTTTAATTTTTTGTCGGTTTTTTTGTCTCATTGGCATACAACCGGATCCCCTTTTCTTCATATTTAAAAACATACGAGATGACATCAATACCAATTCATGACACAAAATAACTGAGTTAAACTAACAGCAGAAGAAAGAAAAGGAAAAGCGCTTTCATGGTTGTACTCAATCTCGAAGTCACAATGTGGTCTTTGAACAAAATGTTGTAAATAAAAAAAAAAAAAATAATAATAATTTTTGGATGTTTATATTGGAAAAAGTAACGTTGTGTAAATTATAACAATTATTTCAATTTCAATCCATATTAAGCTGTTGCTTTTTTCCGCTTCGATGTAATTTTGACCACATTTTAAAAATTAGTTTCCTGCATGATACATATATTATATGCACATTTTCATTGCGATCTAAAAAAGGACGAAGTTGATATATAAACTGCCGTCAATTATTTCGTGACGGTGTATAAGTTGGGCCGTTTAAAAAAAAAAGAATTAATTTAAAAACAAATTGGAGAGGAAAATAATACTTTGTTTCAAAAAAAGAGGGGGGAAAACTAATTGATTTACATTTAAAGTTAGGGACGAAAAAAAATACGACACTTAGATTAAAAAGGTAATGTTCATGTATGTGCTTGAGAAAAAAAAACAATCCTCCCCCCTTCCACAAAAAAAAAAAAAAAACAACACACACACACTCCGAAAAGGAAGAATAGTCGGTGCATAATCATTCTGCTACCAAGGGTTTTTCATAAGTATAGTAGTTAGCAGAAAAGTTCCAGTTTCCAAAATACACCAAACTATACATTTTACCTACTAATATTTCGTGAAGTAAAATGCAAATTTCATAAGGCTTGGTCCAAATAGCTTTTTACTGTCAAATATCTTGCAAGTACGAAAAAGACCGTACGAAAGTATATTTTGTCTATGTTTTGTAATTGCACAACTATTGAAAGTTGATCATGCATTCGTTCTAAAATAAAATTTTACACACGATAAAAGTTAAAAGATACTATAAGTGAAAGAATTAGACAACCGCAATGGGTTAACCGCTTTGACGTCCGAAAAAGATAATAGCCAACACATACATTGTAACTTTCAAAGCTAGATCGCAAGTTAAGAACGTTTAAGTATTCAATATTAATTAAAACACAAAGGTTATTCATGTACTAGTTTTTCGAATTATTTGATTTAGGCGTTGGGAACCTTTAGTGACCCCACAGTTAAAGTATCTATAATAAATACGACGTGATAAATATAGATTCCACCACTGCAACAAGTGTGTTACGATATTTCTCCACTCGAGACAATTAAATTTTAATATCTAAAGTGCGAGGCTTGCC